ATAAATTTGACGCTTGATAATATCTTTGGTTTTAGAAAACGTGTAGAAATCATTTCCTTACTTTGTTTGCCAAGGTGCACCACAGACTCCAGGTAAAATACCAGCTTTACCAGCTTTTATGAAGAGTTCCCTTGGAATTTTCTTGGCTTCGTCCCATTCAAAAGTGTAAGGCATGATCTCTTCGTCCACAAATTTGCGCATAGCAGCACGACAACGATGGTGCGACTCATTATAATATGGGCTATAAAAACCTTGATACCAGTAAGGATCACCATGTGGCACGAGATCTCCGAATGGACCTTCACCTCCAGCTACCTCTTCATTTTCTTCAGGCTGAGCAGAACCAATCTCACCAATTTGTAGTTGAGGCGAATATTTTTTTAGCACGTCTAACGAGTGAAAGTTATCGAACTGTTTTGTCGCGTCCGAACCAGCGACCTTGAGCAAGACCTTTTTGCCACCAGGATGTTCGTTCAAAAAGCTCGTTACATCATATACTTTATCATGAACAATGATCCAGATGGAATCTTGGGTATTATGTTGAGCAACGTCATCGACTGTAAAAGATCTGGTCATGGTGGCAATATAATAATATGAAAATTTTTAAACGATCAAATTTTCGAGTGAAAAAAAAAAAGAAAATTTATATTTGAAACCATGTGACGTTGTTGTAATGCAATGAGTAAAATAATGATTTCCTTGACTCAGCAAAATTCCGAAAAAAGGACAAATGCATCAGTGATGAGACATACGATTATCTGTGTACGCATAAAATGTGATTGCAGATTTTTTTTTTCCGTTGAAACATTAGCTTCGGACGATATCCCCAATTATGCTTTATTGAAAACATGTCTTCTTACATCGGCTCGCTTTAATTCATTGAATTTTTGTACATTAGCGAGTCTTAATAGTGATACATTTTTATTATTATTCTTTTTATTATATTGCATATACATTTAACTTTTCAAATTAAACGTTAAAGATGAATTGAAGATTATCGATCATCGTTATCTTTTTTTTTTTTTTTTTTAATATCAATTTATCGTTATGAATATATATAGTAATTAATGGTAAGAACTAAAGGATGATCTAGTCGCATATTTAGATTTGCTTTTAAACGTCCGATTTTTCTAAAAAATTTTAAAAACTAAAATGTATTGTTTTAAGGCTACTTGAATCTTTCTTGCGATTAAATTTTTAGAAAAGAATCCTTTGAATTGTATAAAATATTTGGTGTGACTAGGCTGTTTACGCAGGTAGATAGAAATGGTATTTTGGCTAAAAATAGGGTTAGAGTTAACATCTTCCAATGGTTTTTCGCAGCCAATCAATAATAAAAAGTTTAGACTCGAAATTTTGATTATAAATTTAGATTAAGTCAAACTTAAGACAATATTAGTCAAGAAAATCGATAATTTTCTGCAGTGATATTAAATATCATCACAAAAATCATCTGGACCGATTAGTTTGTATGGCATGTAATACAATCTTTTAAGATGAGGTAATTTGTCTATCTATATTAATAATTTGTGTTTAGGTTCGACTTTGGTCTTGTACGTACGTACGTAATTTGCTTGAAATGTACGTTTTGATGGTTATGTATCAATTTCCGACAGCATGCTAAAATATCGCTCTGTATAATGTAAGTTAGATGGTTTGTCGGGATTATATCTTTTTATGATAGCTAGGACCGGTTTACACTTTATATACTATATATGTAAAAACAGAAAGCATACGTAGTCAACTCCGAAATATATTATATAGTAACATTTGCTATTTTGAATTTTTTATTTTTTTTTAATACAGTTAGACTCCCCTTAATGCAGCACCTCTTTAAATGTACTAGGACTTATAGATAAATGCACGTACGTACGTACTTTATTCTGTAAGTGCATGCTAATTGTTTGGTCCATTTATAAAAACTCTCTCCATAAATGCACGCACGTGATTATTAGCCAATCAAATTTATTGTTTCTATGCTACTAAACTAAAAGTATCAATTTTGATGCATCTAAATCTAAGTCACGTTTTTTAGCGTGCACCTCCCCATATACCGTAAACTGCCATATACAAGATCCCCCCATATATCAGACCCACCCCTATTTTTTACTAATTATTTTCTTTTTTTTCCTAATTAATTTTTTTGGTGGAATGTAAGAGACCTGGGTCTTTTATATGGCAGTTTACGGTAATTTGTTTTTTCTTTAAACTTTGAGTAAAGATATCTCACCGACGACCCAACCAAATTTGAATTTATTTTTTACTTTGATTCTACAGTCATGTTGAAGTAAAATAAAAAAATACATCGAATTTGGTTGAGTGGTTGCTGAGATATCTTTGCTCAAATTTTTACAAAAAATTTGTTATAACAACTGTCTTAAGCGTTTTGAACTTTTCAAAACTTTGAGCGAAAAATATCTTAACAATCAATTAAAATATCTTCGTTCAAAGATTTACAAAAATTTTGCTATTTGACGCGTTTTTAACCTTTTTCAAAATTTTGAATGAAGATATCTTGGCAGCTACCCAACTAAATTCGATGAATTTTTATGTTTTGATTTTACATCAATAAAAAAACTTGTCGAATTTGGTTCAAAACGTGTCAAAATAATAGTAATAAAATTTTTGTCAAAGGTATCTAAGCCACATTTTTAGCGTGCACCTCCCCATATAATTTAATTTTTTTAAAACTTCGAGTAAAGATATCTCAGCAACAACCCAACTAAAATTCGATGAATTTATTTATTTAGATTCTATCGATATGTTGAAGTAAAATAAAAAAAAAGCATCGAATTTGGTTGAGGTGGTACTGAGATATCTTCGCTC